GCGATGAGGTCTCCCCTCAGCCTCCTCTTCTCCAGGCTAAACAGCCCCAGTTCCCTCAGCCGCTCCTCATCAGACTTGTGCTCCAGGCCCTTCACCAGCTTCGTTGCCCTTCTCTGCTGTGTCCTGGCTACACATGTCTATCTCAAATGTTTGGACATCACCGTTCCTGCTGGAGGTGGCATTGCTTGGCAAGGTCCAGGCAACCCCTGTCCCTCCAGTCCCAGAGCAGAAGGTTTATGACGAGGTAAAATGCAGCTGGGACCCCTCCTGCCCTGCCCTGAGGATGTCCCATGGATGCTGGTGCTGCTCTTGACTACATCACGGGACTGCACCAGCATGCCCGAGCCTGCAAGGAGCCTCCTGCCCTGCGTTCGGGTCGTTGGGACTTCCCAACCCACACAGGGTTTTTGCAGGGTGCAAACAGCTAACAGCTCTGTCTGGGGTTGTCCCCAGGGGTCCCAATGGACATCCCAGGTCCAGCGTGGTGGGACGGTGCTGGGGCAGCGGCTCGGCCCTTCTGTGCAGGCAGAGACATTGTGCAACAGCACTGGGGAAGTGAAAAATAACTTCTCTAGTTTCTGTCTCGGGACAGATCGCCTGCATTCATACAAATCCTCCCACGTTTATTCAGCAGTGACCTGGTGCACTTCCAGTGCACGCGAAAAACTGAAATGAAAGTAACCGACAGGGAACTCTCTTAAATGCCTGCCCCAGTTTGGGTTATCAGTTAATGGGGAAAGGCTGAAGAGCGGGAACAGGGAAATCTAAGTCTTTGTCTGGAAACCTGTGCTCCTGGGGCTGCGATGCTCTGAGGCTGCCTCAGTAAAGCTCCTAAAGCACCAGCAAAGGCAGTCTAGAAATACAGGGCATTATCTGGGGAGCAACTGGGGGCCAAGTGGCAGGGCGTGGTGGTGCCACTGGCATGTCACAGGAATGGGCTGGTCTCTAGACTCAGATTTTCCCCAGGGGCCTTTAAAGACAGGCGCAAACGGCGGCTAAAAATAATCATCCCATTTTGTGTGAGCGAGGTGTCTGTCGGCAGGTTATTTTAACACTCTAGGAAATAGGGTCCCTGGTGGGACCCACACTTGCTGGAAGAGGCATAATGAAGTGTTTGTAGGGAGCATGACCTTGTCAGGCGGAAAATAATTCTTTTTCAAGCTCTGAGGTTTTACATTTTGTTTGTTTAATATGAAAATAACTTCTCTGACCTTATTTTTCACTGAGCCAGGAGCGCCAGGTTCTGCACAGCCGGAGGGAAACTCTGTAGAAGCCTCAAATTAAGCAAGGAAAACCTCTCTGTCACAGAGCAGGTCATTTATCCCTTTTTCCACTGGTGTATTTGAATAAAACCAGACTGCCAGCACCTCTGGCTGCCCTTCTTGCAGGTGCGATAACAGGCGGGTGAAAGCCGGAGCCTGCCTTGCAGGCAAGCTGCCTTCATTTGTCTTTCCTGCAAAGCAAGTCCGGGTCTCAGCCCTGCTCAGTCATACCTGGTTTATTCATGTCTGTGCAGGGAAACAGGGGCTTTCCCCAGGTCAAGGTCAGGTTAGGGATGTTCTTCCCAATGCAAAATGTGGGGGAGCTTCATCCTCCTTCCTCAAAAGCCCGTCTGCCTCCTCCATCCCCCCACGGGGCTAGGTGTGACAGCGACAGATAAAATCCCGTTGCAAAAACACGAGATGCAACGAGAGCCCATTCGCTGGTGGACACGCACCAGGAAACCGAGTCCTTTAAGGAATCATCCTGAAAAATCCAAGCGTGGGGGCATTTTGCAAGGTGTTTCCCACATTTGCTTGTTTTTCCTTGGCGTGGTGCTGCGGCAGATGGCCAGGGTAGTGCTGAGCAACCACCCACCGACACCGACTTGCCGAATCGCCTGCTCTAAGTAACGCTAAAATCCCTTGCAGCAGGAGCACAGCATCATCGGCAGGGCTCGAGCATCTCCGACGGTAAAGCCAGCACCGTTCGCCTCCCTGCCCGCAGCGAGCGGGCAGGATTCGTGCCGCTCCCTCCGCAGCTTGCTTCCCCGGCGTGTGAACACGCCTGCTTCATCCCAGAGGAATGCATCTCCTGATCCTTTCAGGCAGCAAAAAAATATATCGTGGGGCCAAGCCAGCGCGGGGAGAGGAATTTTCCTCTTCCTCGAGGGCTTTGCTCCATGTGCAGGCAGCAGCTGCTCCTCGGGCGGTGCTAAACCAGCAGATGTGCACAGAAATGTCCCGCTCGCGAGGGTCATGCTCATGCAGAGGCATCCCGGACCGGGGAATCTGGGGAGATTTGGGGCTTTTTTTTTTTTTTTTTTGGATGTGTCGACAGTGCCCAGCAGACTGTTACCTCTCTGAAGTACAAACAGCTGGGAGCTGAGAAAGCCACAGCCAGTAACAGCTTGAATGTGTTTTTGGAAAACACTGCAGTTTTAGAGCAGAGAGAAGAGACCCCGTAACCTAATTGAAAAGTGAAAGGAAGCTGGATTTTATCTTTGCATTTGAAAAATGTATTAATCTCCAAGCTCTACTAATAAAAGCCATGAAAGGAGTTTTATCGCTTTTGCCTTGTGGAGGCTCTTCAAAAAGGGAACGTGGCATTCGCAGCACGGGACATTTTGACCTCTCCTGTGTTTAATAATCAGTCTCGGTTTCAAAGGAAAAGAGATGATTTTAGCCAAAGAGCTGTCCAGTTCTTTCTGTGAATTAAGAACATCTAATTTCTGGTGAATGAACTCATTTGTCTGACTCATATTAAATTTGTGGCGAGAGTTGCAACAGTGCCGTGGCTGAGCTGATGGATGTCAGAGATGGGGCTGCTGGCCCTGTCCTTCTGGCTAAAAATACGCTGTGGTTTTCCATGAAAACCGCACTCCCGCTGAACACTTTCTGCTATTACACGTGTATAGTAGCATATCTAATTTAATTAGTGCCCTCCACCCAGTGATTCCCCTAAAAGCCTGCAGAGCAAGGGATCCGATGCACATCCAAGAAATCCTCCCCTCCCTTGGCCTCCCGCTTGCTAATGGGATGTTGGACACTTGCCTCGGACATGCAGCCATCTCCTAATGAGGCTGGGATGGACCTTAGATGATCCAAGCCCTCCATCTTCAACCTCTCTTCTTCTGCTGGCATCTTTTTGCTTGAGAGCGGTGACAGCGTGACACCCGGGGCGCAGATCTTGCGAGCACCTGGATTAATGTCCTGCAGAGCTGTAACACCAGCTGAGGCTAAATTAGGCAGAGACACGTGGACCCATCTGACCTCCAGCTGCAAAGGGTTGTCCCCCTGAATAGAGAAGGAAGACTGGGGGAGCTGCAGGATCTGGCCCCTTCCATGGACCACGATGGGAGAAGGTGTCCCTTCCATACTGTTGCTGTTCAGTGGGAAAGATGTGGCTAAAAAAAATCAAAAGCATTAAAGAAAGTAGGAGTTGCTAAAATTCAGGTGGCGTTTCGAGGAGCAGGAGAAGATGGAAAGGGGCTGGGAGAGGTGAGGGCTCTGTAGCTGCTCCCCGTGACCCCCGGTACGTCCTTACTCCGGGTGGCTCTGGGTCAGCCCCTCTCGGCTTAGGAGGTGAAAAATATTTCGCCTCCATCCCAGAGCACCTCCTTGCCTGGATCTCTTCCTCCTACGGTTGCTGCCCGCTCTCCTTGCTGGTAACAGGGGCAAAGGCACCTGCACAGCAGCTTGTTACGGTACGCATGGAGGCACAGGGGAAATGCTCATCCTCCATCCAAAACCAGTGTCGAAGCCTGGTTTGGGTGGAGGTCTAGGCGCATCGCGGGGGAAGAAACACGTCTCCCTAAGTGTATCCATCTTTCCCGATGCAAAGGCTTACACCTCCTGAATTTCCATATGAACGTGAGCTGAGCACACGGCGTGCTCGATATTTATGAAGTGTGATTCATTACTGTCGGGAAAGGGGGGAAAGTTGGCTCTTACCTCTGTAGCGCAGACATCTGCGTGGGTGCTCTCAGCCCCATCGGAAACCCGACGGCGTGGGCACGGAGCAGCAGCCGTGGGCGGGGGGACATCCGCCCGGCGGCGGCTGCACATCCCACGCTGGACATGGACAGCGCTAGCCAAGCCCAGAAACCTTGCAAACTCCATCTGCAAGAAGCATGTCATAATTTGGGAGAGAAAAAGTGAGTTCAGTGGGAACTTTGGCACGGTCGGTGCAGTGACAGCCTCCCGTCTGTTCCCAGGTGGCGAGTGGGAAGGAGAGCGACAGCAAGAAGAGCGAGGATGTGCTCAGCCAGCTCAGGTCGAGATCCGAACACCTGCAAAACCTCTCCCTGACCAAGTTCATCAAACGTAAGTGGGCGCATCCCCCGCCTCCCACTTGGATGGGCTTTCTCTGCTTGGACAAACGTACGTCCTGGCAATGGGCAGGTTGCAATGCTGGTAAGAAAAAGGGATGTTCCTCCCCGTGCTCAGCCTAACTACTAGGTAAGCCCTCAAGATGCAACTTAGACATACTGTTCGGTTTAATTAGATCTGCAGATCTCTTCCTGGTCTGCTTACAGCAGATGCTTGCCATCACGTCCAGACTACCCCGCTCCACCTCATGCTGATCAAAGCATCTGGGGCTGGTAGCTCTCAACGTTGCGTGGCTTTATGGCTCATCTGGGCAGTGGGAAATGGAGGCCAAAACCTCATCGGAGCCCAAAGCCAGGCAGGAAAGAGGGGTGCAAGCTGTGCACCTGGAGCAGAGCCACGGGAAGGGGAAGAGCCCCCCAGCTAGAGGGGTTTTGCAGCTTGGGTGCATCCAGCTGCCGTTGCCCAGCTCTCAGGTCATAGCAGGAATCAGACCCCCAGCAGCACTGGCAGCTCTTCATCCCCAAAATCCTCCTCAGACCCCGTCTTTCAAGGCTGGTGACCATATCAGAGCCAGGCTGCCCTCCCTGTCCCACCGAGGATGGCCGGCACTGCCTGGAGCCAGGGTCTGAGCAATAAAAATCAGATGCATGTTTGTACAGGGCGATCTTAATCCAGTGCAATTAGCTTGTTTAGAAGTGAGTAGGCTCTTTGTGCTGAAGGGAATCAGCTGGGCTTTAGTCTGTGGAGGGTTGTTTTTTTTGAAGGAAATACTTTGCACTTTGGCAATTACTTAAGAAAAGTGACCTTCGGAAGTCAATCCATGTCAGCTTCCTCCATATTTCCTGAATATTTTCCCTTTAATTTATTGGAAATTCTCTGTTTTATTAAGGTCAGTGCAGGGCAGGCACAGCCAGACAAGCGTGGGCAGGTTTTTATTCTGCTAGTTGCACCATTTGCTCACTAGCCTAATGCTAAATTAGAGGAGCAAGTCGGGGGCTTATTCCCCCGCTGACCTGGTTGCACTGTCGTTTTAGAAAACCCGCGTGATGGAAGCGATTGCGTGGGAACAGATTTATAGCGCTCAGATGGGATTTTCACACCGACACTCTGCTCTTTGCCTCTGAAAAATGAATGAAAATGAGCTCCCTGCTCCTGGGTGAGGAGAGAAGGAAATATCTTACCTCTGCTTGAGCTGCAGGTTTGGCTCGGGGCTTGTATCAGGGTTGCTGTTGTCAGGGCTGCAGGAGCTGTGCTAATAAATTTGTTATTTCTGAGAATTTATCCCCTAAAGCCCAGTCCTGAAAAAAATTAAGTGTCTGTATTTTTTGTCAGGAGAGCAATCTTGTTGAAATCACTGGGGTTTCTAATACAAAACTCTTTTTAGAGCCCAAAACTGGATGGTAGCTAGTGTGTGATGGTTAGATGGGGACAATTTGGTTGAAGTCTAAAAACTTCAGTGCTAGCTCATCTACGGGTCACTAGAAAGACAATTTTACCTCCCATTTGGTGATTCTCCTGCTTATTTTGTTTCTTCTTTCTGTCACCAAGCATTCTTTCCTCTCTATTTTTACTATTCTTTTCTATACGATTATGAAAACAGCGTTTCGAGATTTTCCAGCCTGAATCACCTTGCGATTTTATACCTTCTGTTGTTTAAAAAGAGAGACAGAACGAAACACGTGTGATGGAGAAATGCTGTAGGACAGTCTGGTCCCTGTACCACATCCATAGTGAGCCCTTTGTACACCACATCCCGGTACAAAAGGCTGACTCGGCTCCCGAAGGAGAGGGGTCCTGCTTTGCTGGTCTCAGGAGGCTGGAGCCCATGGGGTTGTGCTGTGAAATCTTTGAGACATACCTGCTTGGTTTTTCTGATTGCATCTGTCATCTCTGCATGGGGCGTGGGGAGCAGGAGCCCAGTTTGCAGAAAGGCAGGAGGTGGGCTTTTAGGAGATAGTAGTGCCAATCCACCAGCAGAAATGACACAAAGCAGATTCCTGTAATATCTTAAGAGAAGTAGCAACCTGTATATTAATTCAGTCTTATGCTCACAGCTTTTCACTGCTTGTAAAAAATATGTTAGTTTTATGGACAAGGGGCTAAACCTTATGCTGGAGATGGCTATCGGCAAGAAGTGGATTGGACCTCATCTGCTTGCTGGTCCATCTTCGTCTTGAGGGGAGCTTTCACAGATGGTCCCCTTCCCAGAACTGCCTGGTACTTTGGTGCTGTCCCTGGGACAGGCAGCCCCAGGCCTGCCTGGTGTTGATGGCTATGGGTCCCTTCTTCACTGATGGCTATGGGTCTCCTATTTGGGGTGGGATGAAGGTCGCTGATGGCTATGGGTCCCCTGTTTGGGGTGGGATGAAGGTCGCTGATGGCTATGGGTCTCCTATGTAGGGTGGTATGAAGGTCACTGATGGCTATGGGTCCCCTGTTTGGGGTGGGATGAAGGTCGCTGATGGCTACACGTCCCCTGTTCAGGGTGGGATGAAGGAAAGCATTAGGATGCCAGCAGGGATTGGATCAAGCAAGGACCGCACAAGATCTCAGATTTTTCCCTATGGTATTTCAGTCCTGTTCCTCCCGCATCCCTCATAAGACAGAGTCCTCCCTCCGGTTGAGGTGTTTGAATACAGCAAGTAGGTTGAAAAATGGGCCTGGAGATTAGGGCTGTGCTTTTTTATTTGGCTCATCTGCAGATCTTCATCCACTTTCAGTTAGAAGGTACTTTGCACCATCGGTGTTGGGTCTGCCCAAGCAAAGCACTTGGGGTTGGAGTCAGTTGAGTCAGCACTCGGAGTTGGCTCCTCGCTGGTGTTAAAGCATTTTGAAAACTGGCCTCACACTTTCACGTGGGCCACCCATGTGGGATGGCTGCAAATTCAACCTGGGATGAGGAACGCTTCACCTGGGAGGAAGGCAGCGTCTCCCGTTGGGAAGCGTCCCTTTGCTTGTCAGCTGGAAGGAACAGGGTCGGCTTTCCCTCGGCACTGATGGGTGGGAAAAATGCAGCTCCTGCTCCAAACCTGGTCCAAGCCTGGGGGAAACTCCAGGTGAGAAAGACACTGCCTGGTTAGGCGGTGATTCAGCAAAGCGCTTGAGGCTGCTCCTCAGGCAGAATATGACTGAAGAGTGCCTTTAAGGGTTCATCGTTTTCTTAAGGGCTTGGCAGAGACAAGCCTTAAATTACGAAGCTGACCTGGAGGAGCAAGATGTTCAGAAATGCTCTTTAGTCACTTATTTCAGCTTAAATGATGCAAAACGAAGAACGATTGTGGAGAAGGAAATGCATTTTGTCATTTTTTCTGTTGCTTCAGTGCACATGGAGATAACTGAGAGCAAAATAAGGCTTGCAGGATTTTTTGCCGTTTACTTTATTGGGAAAAAAGAATGAGGATGTGCTAGAGCCCATCCCATGAGATGCTTCCCATTCTCCATTTCTCTGGAAGCCACTGGGCTTTAAATCTTTCTGGGGCAAGGTGTGACGAGCGGAGAGCAGTTTGCAAAGCCCTGGGGACTCCGCCTCAAGGACAGGAAGAGCTTTTCCATCCACAATCAGCAATAACAGGATGAAGCTGTGTACAGGATAAATACCCAGGCAAAGCACTGGGGACGTTTCCAGACAATGAGGTCAATTACCCAAGAAGGGAGCAGGCTCCACTCGCTGGAGTTATTCAAATGTAGGAAAGTCAAAGCACTGTGGGGAATGATCTTGGCTCTTGCACAGATGCACTGGATGACATTGGGTTGCACCCTGCTCCTTGTACTCACAAAGTGCTCCTTTTGCAGGCATCAGACCTGTTCACAGTAATCAAGAAAGTAGGATTTAGCTAGCCTGAAGTCATTTCCATTGCTAATTTCTAGGCTTCTGTTGAAAACACCTGGGAGGATGTTCAGCTTCTGTTGCACATACTGGGAATTAATCCATTAAAGGTGATCTTCAAAGCAATTAAAACACTGGGCTTGTGACTTGTTTGTTTCTCTACGGTGCCTAAAAATAGTTTCAAGGATATTTTTTATTATTATTTTAAAGTTTCCACTTGCTTTTAGTATCTGCCCCGCTTCCCCTCTGGAGCTGTAAGGAAGATCAAATCAGAAATGAGATGGTGATTGCAGGGGACGGCAATCTTGCTGCCTCCCACCATGAAGTGGGAGACCTGCTCGCTGTCGTAGCTTTATAGCTCTGATGTGGGGTGGCAGAGAGGACTTAGTTTAATTGAAAAGATGGAAGAAGTCTAGGAAAAATAAATCATTTTGGTGGAAGATTCCCACGAACTCCTACAAAAGGCTGGATTAGCTCTCGGGAGATCTTTCAGCAAGCAAGTGGAGGTTTCATATGTGCAATATGTCCAGTATGTAAACTAGGCAGGAATATGCTTCAAAAAGCAAGACCTCTATGGATACTTAAGAGCAAACCCACCTCCCTTCTTTGGGGTTCACCTTGGTCTAGCGCAGAGATATCATTGCAGCTCATTCTCTCTCCAGTTGACTCTTAGCCTCCCAACCCTTCAGCCTGTCGGTATTTCAGGGTCCTTGAACTTGCCTTGCATGCTTGGACCCTCTCTACTGCCCTGAGTTTGCTGCTCCCCAACGTCTTTAGCTGCTTGCAGAGTGCTGAGCGGGAGAGGCGATACTCCCACGAACAAGAGCTTTGCCTTTGTGCATGGAGGACCCCCTCGCATCCATGGAGCGACCTTTGCTCTTCACATAACTTTTTAGGACAGCTAAAACAAATACACAGCTTGGGGCAACTCCCAGACAAGCACCAGATAGCTCTCCCTCTGCAGTCCCCCCATGCCTCTGTGCTGGAGCAGATATAAAGATTGTCCTGATTGTTTGTGAGCTGCTAAGAATTAACACCATTAATTTATGGCAGGCCCTTGCATTAATCCTCTCTGTTAATTCCTTATCTCTGCTTCAGCATATTGACTTTCAGAGCCCTCATCTGGGAAACTCGTCATCTGTTTGTGTGGAAACTGCCCTTACGCACACCCTTTGCTTGAGGAAAGGCGATGGTTCGGGGGGAGGAAAGGCATGAGCAGAAAGTGGGTTTGGGATGTGCACGCAGGAGAAATCGCTCCAGGCTGGAGAGCTGCAGCCTCCCAGCTGGTGGGTGTCAGCATCCCGATTCCTTGGGAGCAGGGCAGCTGTCTTTGCTGAGCAGGCTGAAGATATCTTTTTCTCAAGCAGTAAGGGTTCAGTCGCAGGGGAATTTGGTGGAGTGTTTCTTGCCTGTAATCAAAAAATACATTTTTATGATTGAAACAAAAACGGCATTGAAATTGCAACTGCAGCAAACAAATAAATTAACTTTTAATGACTTCCCAGCTACTTTCCTATTTGTTTTAGCAGAAGCCCTGCCAGAAAGCTTCAGGGAGAGGAACCGAGGCCGTGTTTACTCGGGCCATGTGTGTTTGTAACAACCCCTGTAATCAATCAACGCCGCAGCCCTCAGCCCGTGGGCGGCGGGGGAAAGACATGCGGGTTTCGATCTTGCTCGCAGTCATCCCGGTACAGACCACCCGTTGAAGGCAGGAGACACAGACAGTATTTACAGAGGTTCAGTTGCAAAACTATCGCAGAGCCACTTGCCTTTCTCCTAAGGCATCATAAGACCCTGGCAGCTCTGAAGAAGAGCTCAGCAGGAGGCAAAGCTGCGGAAGGCGGCAGATTTGTCCTCTGCATTAGCAGATGTTCAGGGTTGCTTGAGCACACCACCCAACTGTTGATGTGAGAGATCAATTTTCTTGGGTCAAGATGCCTCGTTTAGAGTTTTCTTTACTGAGAGGGTGGTCAAACACTGGAACAGGCTTCCTAGAGAGGTGGTCTGTGTGTAAGCCTGTCAGTATTTGAGGCATTTGGACAATGCCCTTAACAACATGCTTTAACTTTTGGTCAGCCCTGAAGAGGTCAGGCAGTTGGACTAGATGATCGTTGTAGGTCCCTTCCAACTGAAAATATTCTTTTCCATCCTATTCTACTGATGCTGATGCCTCCAACAGTTTTCCATTGTGCAAGCACAAACCCTTTATATGCCGCCTGTATGCACGTGTGTTTACAGCAGTTCCCAGTCTCAACTGCATGGGCTTCAGCAGAAATTAAGTGTGACCGACCTTAGCAGCAAATCAAAAGGATTAACAGATACAGAGGTGAGCTCTGCAGGGGTGGGACGTGTCCAAAGAGGAGTTGCTCTCTTCTCAGGTTCACTTTGAGGCTGGACATGCTTTGCACTGAAACCCCTACTTTTTCGCCTCATCTTTTGCAACATTTAACAGATACGGAGGTGAGCTCTGCAGGGATGGGATGTGTCCAGAGAGGAGTTGCTCTCTTCTCAGGTTCATTTTGAGGCTTTGCACTGAAAACCCTACTTTTTCGCCTCATCTTTTGCAACAACTGACTTCTGCCATTGATTCACCCATCCCGTGGCTGATTGCTGAGGCGGGTGGGATGAGGGTCGCCAGCTTCCCTCTCTCACTCTCGACAACTTAAATAAGACATCTCTCATTAGATTGCTGCTGTTAGCTGAGATGAAATCTACTTTATTTACAACAAACCTCAGTGTTCAGGTGTTTAATTTTTGCAAAGTCCTGATGCTTCATCCTGACTTTTTAATATCCAAATGGTCACGCAATCAAGCCCTGAAATGATAAAACCTGAAAGCACACATTCTGCCCTTTTGTAAATGAAATGTTCAGAAGAGCTCACCACTCCTAAAGAGTTAATTCTGCACAAAAATTGAAGGAAAATTCAAAGCTTCGCCACTTTCCGTGGATTAATATTTTGCCGTACACCTCCTCTGTATGCAACAGGTTTCCCCTTTTCCTTTCAGATTTTCCTCTGGTCCTGTTGAGGAACCTGCGTCATCCCGTCTACCTGCTGGTGGTGTTGGCTCAGGTCAACCTCTCTGCCATGGTTGCTGGTTTAGCAACATTCATGGGGAAGTTCCTGGAGAGACAGTTCTCCCTCACGGCGTCCTTGGCCAACATGATCATCGGTAAGTGTTGCTATCAAGGCTTTTGAGCACTTCTTAGAAAATAATCTAGAGATTACTAAGAAGCACCTTTCCCTCTGGAGTTGCCAGTCTCCTTCCATTTCCTACAGACAGACGTGGCACGAAGTCTGTGCCCATGTGATTTCTCAGCTACTATCTACCTTCCTTCCTTTACATTGCAGCCTGAGCTTGCTAGAATAAAATCTTTTAATACCTGGAGAAATGTTTGTTATCAACTCATTGCATCAAGGGAGCAAAGAAATATCAGATATGAATTGTGCATTTTTCTGTAGCAGGGATTACTTTACATCGATCATTGGGTTAAGGGTCTTTAAAAAAGTAGATAGCAAATAAAATCAAAAACTTCAGTAATGTATGCATGCATTTTGAAGACACTTTGCAGCAAGAGGCCAGTCAGGCTGGTGTAATAATAATGCTTAAACTCTTCAAAATGTTTGCTATAGGTAGACTAATTGCTTGTAAAGGTTGGGCTAATTGCTTGCTGTTGGTATCGTTAAGAAGGAAAGGAATAAATGTTAAGTAGGATATGTGCTCATGAGATTAGACTGCTTTTGCTTGTATTGTAATATCCAGAATGTCCTGTCCAGGGCTGAGGTCTACCTGTGCGAGCTTGTCATGGTGATAAAAATATGAAGAATAAAGCCCTACTCTTACAATCAGTTGGAGAGTTCAGAGATATAGACACAGAAGTATTTTAAATATGTTTTTGAACAAACAGCATGCATCCTCAGAGAAAGAGTCTTCTGAAGTCTGCAACAAATAAATCAGAAGAAAGTGAGCAGAGCAGGCTGGTAAAGCCCAGCAACCCAGGCTAAATACAGGCAGAAAGGTTAAATGCTGAAGCAGTGATGTCCTCCCCTGATGTGCGCTGCTGAGCTGTTCCCAGGCTTGATTTACCCGCTCTGTTAAAGATGTGCACCGTATTTCTTGTTCCCAGCTTTTGTTCCCAGCTACTGAATCTTGCTTTGCCTTTTTCTGTTAGATCAAAAAACTTCCTGTAGCTGGAAAACCCTTCCTTGTGTGGGTATTTTTGGGCTGAAAGCAACCTCCCTTTGATTCCTTGTTGAATGAGACAGATTGCACTTCTTTGGTATGCCATTGTAAGGTGGTTTTCCAAAACTCCAAGCCTGTCATGGAAACCTTCACGGTTTTGTAGTGATGACAACAGAAGTGGGCACATTACTGCATTATGCAAAAATTAAATATCCTCCCCGGGTTTCATTGATATTTTCTCCTGTCTACACTGAAAAATCACATCTGCTGCATTAAGCATAGCTTTTCACTGGTCCCTACATCCTCCATGCATGGATCCGTAAGACGGCCCGTTTGCTGTGGGGTCCTGCTGTTTTTGCAAAACTTCTCTTTCTTAGCATTATTCTACCAGTCCCTGCAAAAACCTTGGTCCCCTCCAGATCACGGATGCTGAAAAATAGGAATCCAACAACAAATCCTCTGGGCCTTTGCTGTAATGAAGGGACTGATACGGCTCAGAGGATGGAAAACAAGGACCGGCTTTTCCCCAGGTGCTGTGAACATCCCTGGGGCGATGGTGGGGATCGTGGTGGGTGGTGCCATCCTGAAGCGGTTCCAGATGTCCCTGAGGCAATGCAGCGCCATGTGCGTCCTCGGCATGTTCCTCTGCCTGCTCGTGGCTTTTCCCCTCCTCTTCCTCGGCTGCCCCACGCAGAAGGTCGCAGGCGTTACCTACAGCGAGAGGTACCGACAGCTCCAGCTAGCCGGGGCATGGGTGGGTCATTCCCAGGCCTGTGGGTACCCCCCATCCCCAGCTGCACTCCTTGGGGTGGAGGGGGAATTTGAGCAGAATACGCAGAAATGGGTTTATTCCCTCTTGAGAAACAATTAATGGTGATAAAATAAGGCTAGAAATTAATGCTTTTGTGAATAAACACTGAATCTGCTGCATCCTTACTGCTTCTAACTTCATTGACTGGTGGTGAAACCCGAAGTGAGCGCATTTTTGGCACAAACAGCACAAGATTAAAATCTCCTCTTGGAAAGTGCGGCGCGTTACTCACAGGCAAATAATTTGGGCAGGGGCCAGCCCTGGGATCACACCTCCAAAGCCATGGCTGCTGCCCTACACAGCTAAACGTGGGCAGGACCTTGTCTTCCCTCAAGGCTTGATCCAAGTCGCTGTAAATTCACATGTTCAGCATCCTGTGGTCTCGGTGGAAGCTGGTCCGAGCACTCAGTGGGAAGCTCACCACCTCCCACAGCATGGTGTTGCACTACCCCAAGACCCCACATTTGGGGCCAAATATGAAGGAACTGGGTGACTGCCTTGACCGTTCGTGGTCAGGATGTTTTGCCCAGGCAGAGCAAAGGCTTGGGGGCTTATAGTGGAATTTCTGTGGGTCCTCACTTATATATGGGGAAGGTTTTGTTAAGCAATCAAGTGTTTCTTTACTAATCTCAATATACCTGCAGTATATTTTCTATATAAGATGCGTATTACTGATGCTCAATACCATGCATTAATATTTTCTTCCTGTCGTAGCTCTGAATTTGGACACCACGCCTTGGAGTGTAACCTCCAGTGTAACTGCCCCGAGAAAGCCTATAACCCCATCTGCGGCTCTAACGCTATTGAATACATCTCGCCCTGTTCCGCCGGCTGCAGAGTTGTAAATATCAATGCAGACATCAACTCAGTCCTGGTGAGTCATTCCCACTGCGCTAGTGTCCTAGCTTGGGATGGCTAATGAGGGATGACCAATGCAGCGCTCAAGTTTGGCAATTAGGTTTTCTGATGTTCGTTAGTGTTGGACAAGCTCTCTGTGACCTTGTGGGATGAGCTGGGGAAGGTTGAGAACGTCCTGGGAAAACCCGTTGTAGGTGGTATCTCTTAGCACTCTCCAGTATAACACAGGCCTTTTCAGTACAGGTCCTTGGCCAAAGCAGCAGGTAGAAATCTTTTAGGTATCCAGCCTTTTAGGATGTCAAGGTGTCCTTCCCCATCCACTGCTCCTCCCCAGCTCAGGTTTTGCTCCACAAACCCTAGCTTCAATATCTCCCAGCAGCTTGAGTGGACTTTTTGCATGGAAGATGCAAAGACCTTCTGCTTTCCCTTCCCACCTAAATGGTGACCAACAAGGTCACCTTTCTTAGCTGTGTTTCCTGTGGTGGGACAGGAGGACGTGCAGTATGGGAAGGGTTAATCACAGCACCTAGCATGACCCCAAGTCCATGGATGCCTCTTGTTCTCAAGGAATGCTTTCTCCATGGGGTGAGTCAGCCCACCTCCACCAGGCTCCTGCTGTGAATTGCCCCATCTGTGTTCCTTGAATAGGGACCTACCAAAACCAGGCTCCCAATTTAAGCATCACATGCCTGAAGTTCTCTGAAACTGGATGGAGTCTGAGTGTTTCCATTTTTCCAGCGTTGTGAAGGCAAAATATCAATGCAGGTGGCATATATTTTCACACACCTCGATGTCTTGCAGCAGGTATCACCCAGGCTGCTCACCCAATAGTATTTGCTTGGGCTTGACCTAAAATACTGCTCAAAGCCTAGAATGAACGATTTATTTATTTAACAAAATAAAAACAAAATGCAAAACTGCACTTGGTCCAAACTGCCCTCCTGCAGAATGGGGGGAAATACCAGCTGAAAACACTTAACTGCTACCCACAGTTGCAGAAGCAGACTGGGGGTTTCCATCGTATAACTTGCTTTAGTTATGCCGCATCTATAGATCACATATAGGGATGAAGAGAGGGGAGGTAAATCTTGCTTCTGGGGACTCAGGGAGCAACTCTGCATGCTGTGGGCAAGGCAAGCCTGGGGGACCATTGCCCCAGTACACATAGCACGGACATTTAGCAGACCTTCACTGAATGCTCTGGGAGGGCCTCGTTAGAGCCGTGTTATTCCACCTTTCAGCCTGCAGATTTGCAGGTTAAAAAGTCATGACCTAGTTGCAATGTGCAACCTCTCCATCAGTACCGGTTGTCAAGCCAAACGTCTGTGTAAGCGGATAATTTAGTGGGAGAGTCCCGATGCGGGAGCTAGTGAAATGGGGTTTGCTTGTGGCTTTCCCTTCATTTGCAGACCTGGCTGGGTTATTTTGCTGCCATGTGCTTCTCTCTCCTCTGCTGCTTCCTGCCTCTCACCAAAACCCCAACCGGGCTGAGTTTTCGCAGTGCCAATAGTCTGTTGGGTCTCCAGGCAATACAGTTCAACAAATAAATAGTAAGGAAACCTTGGCCAATTCAACACCCTAGCTGAAAAATGTCAGCAATCCGTATAGGGTGAGTAGTTTTCCATTGTGTTCTTGGCACAGGATATAATGGCAGCATGGGACTGTCTGGGCACTTTTTAGCAGCCTTTTGTTAGTTACCAACACTTAATTTTAATAACAATTATGTTTTCTGCCAGAGCTTAGTCCCAAATGTGCTTTTGTGCATCCCTGTGCCTGCCTTTTGTACAGCAGATCCTTTTCAACCGCTTCTTCCTCCTCAAAGACGCCTCCAGCCCTTTGACACCCTGTGCTCCTGAACAGTGACCCACTCCTGCATTCATTATATGTATTATTATGTGCAGCCACATGCTACAACAAAATCAGGGCTCCCTTGATGGTGCCATGCAAACGCTACTTAGTAAAGCCAGCATTAGCTTTTCCTTTAGCACTGAAATAATTTGCTGAATCTTCTTTCCATCTATTGATGCATCTTGACCCAATTTAAGTTGACATATCTCAGTATGTCGTTATAAATGCCAAGCCATGTGCCAGCACGTAGTAGCTGGAGCACGGTGCATCTCCCTGGGACAGGGGGTTTATGGCACACAGTGATGTGGCTACAGGTGCTGAGCTCTGCTCCTTTATTATGCTGGACTAGGAGCTGAGCTCAGGTGTCCACAGAGCAACCTCAGTCCCTCTCCAGTTCTGAGTATTACCTGTTGCAGGAAAGGAAAAATGAGATTATTACATTTTATGGCATTCCTCCAGGTCCTGCTTTCTGTTATATTACACTTTTCTCACTATTTTCAGCAGCTCTTTGCCAGTGCAAGGACCTGTTGCCTACTGCTTTCCATGTCCCAAACACCTGGGTTTCTAGAAACACCCCCAGTGTGCAGGAAAACCTGCAATTTTGTGCTCAGCTTTGCTGCGACCCTTCCAGAGGAGGCTTGCACAGTGCAAGCTTGGCTTTAACACTCTCATTTGAAAGCTCTTGTACACTGAAAGCAATTTGCTCTTTGCATCGCCCGATGTCCCCAAATTTCATGGGCAAACAGCAGAAGCCTGCAAACTTTGCTCAAGAGCAGGACCTCGCAGTGACAACTTTTTAGTGCTTTCCTATTTGTTTGGGTCCAACATGACCTGTTGAAGTGAGGTGGCCATGAGTCCCCTGGGACTGCGGGAATCTCCATACCACGGGGCTCCTGGGTTTCTGGGGCCCCCATCTGCTCTCATCGTGCATGGCCACGGGTGGGAGCAGGAACACCCCTCTGCTGCCAGCTGGGTCAGATCCGAGCTGGTCAGGACACACTCCAAAATTTAGGGTACCGGAAGGTCCCAGCTGGGGCAAAAAAGAAGAAATAAGACAGCATCAGGCAGAGTTTGATGTGAGCAGCTTTCTCTCTTAGGAAAACAATTGCTAAATGGTACTGTTGGGGATGGTTGACACACAGCCCTGAAAAACCCGGGGCTGGCCGCGTGCCATCCAGCTGCGCGTCCCTGCCCGGAAACCACAGCCCCGGTTTCAGGGCTGCTCTCGGTTATTCTCCTCTCCCCGCTTTGCCGGGTGGTTTTTCCCAGCCCTGGTGCTCTGTCAGCCTTGTGGCACTGCTACCCAGACGATGCATCTCATGGGGACGGGCCACCAGTGGCTTTGTGGCTTGTCCCTGCTGCTCAGAGGTTTTTGCAGCCTAGGTCATGCTCCCTGCTCTAAAAATCCTCCAAGGTTTCAAATGAAGGGGGCAGAGCATGGTCTTGTGCCTCCATTGCATGCATCTCCAGCCTTTTGTCTCCATTTGGCTTTGTGCGAGTCCCCTAAATATCGTGACTCCAATTCTCTGTAAAAGGTGGCAGTTTGCACAGACCGAATGAGTTTTAGTTTATCTAATTGCATTTTTGTTAACTGCTTTGGCCCAAATTCATCTCAGCTATCATAGGCACTTCTCTGTGGTGGGTCCTCTGGAGACCCACGTCTACCTCCATGACTGCAGAAGAAGCCCAGATGATGAGTTTGCTTTAGTTCGTTTCAGATGCCTAGAGAAGATAAATCCCAGTCTTAATTTAAAGTATTAAATCCTCTTTCCCAGAGGTGGGAGGAGAGATTGTGTCCCCTTTCATCCCAAATCTTTCCCCCGTGCTCTCAGCAGGGAGCAGTTCCTTGTGAGTCTCATTTACGGGCATCGGCCATGCCACTTCCCCAGGCAGGGATGTGGGAACGGCGATTTGGGAGACCCTGGGCTGCTCCTGCCTCTGGATCACCCTTCTGCAAACTGCCATCCCGCTATGAATCTGTCCCCCTCTGGCAACAGTAAGATCATGCTCATTTTATTTAAAGGTCGTTTCCAAAAAAATGAGATTTCTTGTTTAAAAAAACCAGAGAATTGTGACTAAAATCTGGAGAAAAGGAAAGAAATCCATATCCCTCCCCCCGGGGCGTCCTTCCTTTGCTAACACTGTGCTGGTTATTTATGACCCTCTCTCAAAGGTGAGGTTTTGCATTTTCCCCTAGCAAGTGTTTTCTGATTTAATACTCCTCTGAGCTTGGGCTCTGGCTTTGATTGCCAGCTCTGCTTTACACGTAGCTCCTGGATGAAGGGTCTCACAGCAGGAGACAAGCTGGGTACAGGAGATGGAGCCCAGGCTGCTCCCCTGAAGATTTCCTCCAAAAGATATAACACAGAATCTCCATCCTTTGTTCGATGAGGGGGGGGAACGTTGCCAGCAAGGGCGAGGATAAGGCTGAGGTACTTA